GTAATGGAATATTATTCAGACACAAAAAGAAATGAAATAAAGATACATGTCAAAACAGGAATGAATCTTAAAAAAAAAACACACATTATGCTGAGCCCTAGCCTGTTGGCTCAGTGGATAGAGTGTTGGCCTGCGGACCAAACGGTCCCGGTTCCATTCCAGTCCAGGGTACATACCTTGGTTCGAGGTTCCTCCTGACGCAGGCCCCGGTCAGGGCATGGGCAGGAAGCAACCAATGGATGTGTTTCTTTCACATCAGTGTTTCTCTCTGTCTTTCCCTCTCTTTTCCACTCTGTCTAAAAATCAATGGAAAAATATTCTCGGGTAAGGACTGACAACAACAACAAAAACGATAAAAAAACAACAAAACAAATAAACAAACCAAAAACAAAATCTATAAAAAACAACATTATGCTAAGTGAACAAAGCAAGTTACAAAAGGCCATATCTTATATGATTCCATTATATGAAATGTTCAGAAGAGCAATCTATAAAGACATATAGTTGATTAGTGATTGCTTAGGCCCTAAACTTCATTTATTTTTTTTTATTAAAAAAAATATTTTAGCCAAAATCGGTTTGGCTCAGTGGATAGAGCGTCGGCCTGTAGACTGAAGGGTCCCAGGTTCAATATCGGTCAAGGGCATGTACATTGGTTGTGGGCACATCCCCAGTGGGGGGTGTGCAGAAGGCAGCTGGTCAATGTTTCTCTCTCATCGATGTTTCTAGCTCTCTGTCCCTCTCCCTTCCTCTCTGTGAAAAATCAATAAAATATATTTAAAATATTTTATTAATTTTTCATAGAGAGAAAGGGAAAAATCAATAAAATATATTAAGAATATATTTTAAATATTTTATTGATTTTTCATAGAAAGAAAGGGACAGGGACAGAGAGTTAGAAACATTGATGAGAGAGAAACATCGACCAGCTGCCTCCTGCACACCCCCTACTGGGGATGTTCCCACAACCAATGTACATGCCTTTGACTGGAATCGAACCTGGCACCCTACAGTCTGCAGGCCAACGCTCTCTATCCACTGAGCCAAACCAGTTTCGGTGAGGCCCTAAACTTTAGAGTATGGCTGGATTGGGGTGGGGTGGAGAGTGACTTAATGTGGATTGGGGTGGGGTGGAGAGTGACTTAATGTATGTTTTTTTTTTTTTTTTTTTTTTGGGGGGGGGGCTGTGATGAAAATGTTGTGAACTTAGATTGTGATGAACTTGATAATGAATATACCAAAAACCATTTGAATTCTTTTATTTTATGGGATATGAATTATATTTCAATAAAAATATTTTAAAAACTAAGAAAAAAAAAATCCCTAGAACTCATGAGAGAGAGCTATTATAGTGGGGGACTCCTTGTGACAGCCAGTGTTTTTTCTACTACTGATTACTGCTTCGCACCTGCAAGACTTCCCATCTGCCTTCTGCAGGGACAGGGAGCCGGCCACGCTCGGGCCAGCCCTGGGTTCGCTCTCAGCCGGGGTGAGGGCCCCCGCGGCCGCTGTGAGGGCAGCAGAGGGCAGGATGTGGCTGCCTTGGCCTGAGACTCACATGGAGACACCCGGTGTCCACCTGCTCGTGAGGAGGGGCCATTTCCTGCTTGGCCCAGCGACAGAGGTGAGGGCTCTGGTCTATTTAACCATCTCATCTCAGCCTTCTTAGCTTTTCCAGCAACAACAGAGTTTGATAACTTCACTTTGCTAATCTCAGTACGATCAGAAGCATTCAGGCCTCTATGGCCATGGGAAGTGCTGGCACATCCCTGGGCCTTCAGAGCAGACTCCCCCTTACCTGGTAGGCACAGGAAGCTTAGATGTCTCAGTCACATGCACGTCACGTCACATCACATCACCTCACCTGGAACCCCCGTACCCCCGCTCTAAGACACACTGAGACACAGCTCGTGGGTGCACAGAATGTTTATTGACACTCTGCTCCAGTGTGCTTCTCGCACGTGGCCTGGCCACCTACCCACCCGGACTTCTGAGGACGGAGTGGGAGCACCGGGTCCGCAGAGGCCCCCTGCATGATGCTGTGCTCATCACCACGCCTCTCGCAGGACAGGCACAGAGCCCGGCTCCCTCTGCCCTGGGCTCCTGTCCAGGCCGCCTCCCCGTTAGGAACTGGACACAGTCCCCCCTGCCCATATCCCCGTTCCATGTTATTCACTCTCCTCTGTCTGACTCTCCAATCCTGCAGTCCCTCCTCCGCAGATAAGAAACAGCTCCCCCGCTTCCACTGTGGAGGGCGTATGGGAATGTGTTTGTCTTTTCCCACTTGGTTTCGCACAAGAAGTGAGTCATTGCAGGGAGAGATCCGCTTATTTGAAACACGCGCTGCACTGAGGCATCAAACTGATCCTAGCCGCTGGTTGGCTGTTTCCATACATCCGCAAACTAACCTGTAGGAGGGCTGGGGGTTTGAACAGCACATAAGAAAGAACACACTTCTCCTCTGGACTGGAGGGCACGGGGTCCGAGGCCGGCTCTGTGGAGCCGGGGCTGCTCACAGACAAACTTGGGAGCGTTAACTGTCACTCTGGGTTGCTCGTTAATTGCGATGGTCTATGAAGAGTGTGTTTGTTCTCCTTAAACAATCAATCCCATGGACCAAGGACACTTTTCAGAAATGACAGCTGTATTGCAAATCCTTAACAGGAATATCTGATCAATGTCTTCGCTCCATCTGGGTTAACTGTCGCCTCCATGGGCTGCTGGCAGAGAGCTGGTCTGCTTGCTCACTTTCCTGCCATGTTCCCCCTTAAAACCGGTCTCTACCGCTATTACGCTGCCACTCTGTGCTGCGCGGCTCCGGGCACAGCCTCTGGCCCCTGCTGAAGCCGCCAATGGCGTCCAGGATCTTTGGGTTCACACGGTCTCTGTGGGGCTTGGCAAGGTTGGTGTGGCGATGCAGAGAGCCCTGGCGGTGCGCCAGAAGTGAGCAGGCCCACCTGGCTGGCTGTCCCTGCGGTGGCCAGAGGCTGTGTCCCTGAGGGGCTCCGTGACGCTGCTGCCCAGCCCCAGCCCTGAGCAGAGCGTGCAGGCTGCTGCCGGGCTCCGCTCCCCGCCGCCGGGCACCGCTCCCCGCCGCCTGGCACCGCTCCCCGCCACCGGGCACCGCTCCCCGCCGCCGGGCACCGCTCCCCGCCACCGGGCACCGCTCTCCGCCGCCGGGCACCGCTTCGCTGCCTGGCACCGCTCTCTGCCGCCGGGCACCGCTCCGCTGCCGGGCACCGCTCCCCGCCGCCGGGCACCGCTCTCCGCCGCCGGGCACCGCTCCGCTGCCGGGCACCGCTCTCTGCCGCCGGGCACCGCTCCGCTGCCGGGCACCGCTCCCCGCCGCCGGGCACCGCTCTCCGCCGCCGGGCACCGCTCCGCTGCCGGGCACCGCTCCCCGCCGCCGGGCACCGCTCTCCGCCGCCGCCGGGCACTGCTCCGCTGCCGGGCACTGCTCTCCGCTGCCGGGCACCGCTCCGCTGCCGGGCACCGCTCTCTGCCGCCGGGCACTGCTCCGCTGCCGGGCACCGCTCTCCACCGCCGGGCACCGCTCCGCTGCCGGGCACCGCTCTCCGCCGCCGGGCACCGCTCCGCTGCCGGGCACCGCTCTCCGCCGCCGGGCACCGCTCTCTGCCGCCGGGCACTGCTCCGCTGCCGGGCACCGCTCTCCACCGCCGGGCACCGCTCCGCTGCCGGGCACCGCTCTCCGCCGCCGGGCACCGCTCCGCTGCCGGGCACCGCTCTCTGCCGCCGGGCACCGCTCTCTGCCGCCGGGCACGGCTCTCCGCCGCTGGGCACCGCTTCGCTGCCGGGCTCCGCTCCCCGCCGCCGGGCACCGCTCTCCGCCGCCGGGCACCGCTCTCCGCCGCCGGGCACCGCTCTCCGCCGCCGCCGGGCACTGCTCCGCTGCCGGGCACTGCTCTCCGCCGCCGGGCACCGCTCTCCGCCGCCGGGCACCGCTCTCCGCCGCCGCCGGGCACTGCTCCGCTGCCGGGCACTGCTCTCCGCCGCCGGGCACCGCTCCGCTGCCGGGCACTGCTCTCCGCCGCCGGGCACCGCTCCGCTGCCGGGCACCGCTCTCCACCGCCGGGCACCGCTCCGCTGCCGGGCACCGCTCTCCGCCGCCGGGCACCGCTCCGCTGCCGGGCACCGCTCTCCGCCGCCGGGCACCGCTCCGCTGCCGGGCACCGCTCTCCGCCGCCGGGCACCGCTCTCCACCGCCGGGCACCGCTCCGATGCCGGGCACCGCTCTCCGCCGCCGGGCACCGCTCTCCACCGCCGGGCACCGCTCCGATGCCGGGCACCGCTCTCCGCCGCCGGGCACCGGCCGCTGGGCAACGCTTCGCTGCCGGGCACCGCTGTCCGCCGCCGGGCTCTGCTCTCCGCCGCCGGGCACCGCTCCCCGCCGCCGGGCACCGCTCCCCGCCGCCGGGCACCGCTCCGCCGCCGGGCACCGCTCCGCTGCCGGGCACCGCTCCCCGCCGCCGGGCACCGCTCCGCTGCCGGGCACCGCTCCCCGCCGCCGGGCACCGCTCTCCGCTGCCGGGCACCGCTCCCCGCCGCCGGGCACCGCTCCCCGCCTTGAGGGCCCTCGGCCCGGCCTTCCCGCCCGTCCGCACAACCTCAGCTCAGGGCTGGGCCCGTGGTGCCCTCCACACCTGCCTGTGGACATGGCTGAGCTGCCCCACATCCTTGGTCTTCAGGGCTGGGTGCTGCGCCTGTGTCGGAGCAGCAGGAGGCGGGAGTGACGGTCTCCTGGGGGAGAGCACAGGATTTCCTCACCCGTGTCCAGGAGGAAGGACCTGCACCGGCATGGCTTCCTTTGCACCCCTGAAGGCTGTTTCGGGACCTGCCATGTCACTCGATGGCGGGGGGCCGAGTGGAGGAGTCTGGTCACCCCCTGAAGAGCCAGCTTACGGACCCGGCTCCCCGGAGGCCACGGTGTCCGGAGCTCCGGGCAGGCCCCCATGGCGCAGACCCGGCGGGGCGGCCCCCAGCGGGAGCCGCGGCTCAGAAGAGGCCGCCCGGGAGCGCCGACAGGAAGCGGGGCGCGGGCGGCGGCGGGATGATGGGGGTGGTGTCGGAGCTGGCCTCCTCCGGCTCCGGCTCGCTGTCCTCGCTGTCCGGGCCGTCGCGGGCGGGGATGATCCTGACCACACGGTCCTCAAAGTGCACCTGCTTCTTCGCGGCCGGCGAGGCGGCCGGCTCCAGGGTCAGCTCGGTGGGGGCCTCGGGGCGTCGGGGGGCGCCGGGCTTCCTGGGCCCCTTCAGCAGGCGCCGCATGTGGGCGAGGAGGGAGCGGGGCCCCCGCCGGAGGGCCCCGGGGAAGGTGTAGGTCTGCTCGGTGTCCCCGGAGCCCGTGGTGCTGCGGGCGCTGCGGCAGGGGTCCGTGTACTGCTCCGGGGCCGGCCCCGCGGGCCCGGCTCTGCTCTTCTTCCTCTTGCTGAGCAGGAAGTAGGCCAGGCCCGTGAGGACCATCATGGAGCCTGGGGAGAGCGGGGTCAGGCTGCGGGAGTGTCCTGGGGAAGCCAGAGGCTGCCCAGCCCACCGTCCCCACAGGCCAGGGCGCACACTGGGTCCACACTCAGTACTGCTCCGGCCCTCACTCCTCACTGCCCACTGCCCGCTGCCCGCTGTCCACTGCCCGCCCCCCGCTGCCCACTGCCCACTGCCCACTGTCAACTGCCCACTGCCCACTCCCCAATCCTCACTCCCCACCCCCACTGCCCGCTGCCCGCTGCCCACTGCGCACTCCCCACCCCCATTGCCCACTGCCCGCTGCCCACTGCCCACTGCCCACTCCCCACTCCTCACTCCCCACCCCCACTGCCCGCTGCCCGCTGCCCACTGCGCACTCCCCACCCCCATTGCCCACTGCCCGCTGCCCACTGCCCACTGCCCACTCCCCACTCCTCACTCCCCACTGCCCATTGCCCACTGCCCACTCCTGACTCCCCACTCCCCACTCCCCACTCCCCACACAGCACAGCAGACCCGGGGCAGCCTGACCCCGTACTAGCACCCGCCCCTGGCCGGGAGCGAGGGGACCCTGTGCCTGAGGCTCGCTTCCTGGTGATAGCCCCCCTGGTGCTGCCTGCACAGCCTCCCTCACCGCACTCAGCCTCTCTCACTGGCTGTTGGAGCTGGACTGTGACCCACCAATGGCCTGGGGTCTATGGCGGATACCGGCCCCACCTGCTGGGACGTCCATCACTCCCTGTCGCCTCCTCAGGGAACAGGGGAGAGTGCAGACCTCCTGGGGGAGGGGGGCCAGCATGCATCGCCCCTCCTGGCCCCTCCGAGGCCTCCAGGCAGAGGACCCTCCGCCCCGGCGGGACCTGCTCTGGCTTCCCTGCGGGGGCTCCTGCCCACCCTGTGCAGAGGGAGAGGGGACCTGCTCTGGCTTCCCTGCCGGGGCTCCTGCCCGCCCTGTGCAGAGGAAGAGGGGCCGGTCCTGTCGCCGGGCCAGAGCCCCCTGGCTCCCTGGCTTTCCCAGGGCGGGCGGAGGCGGGGCGGGAGGCCGGGGCTGGCTCTAGCGCTGTGTGCTGTGTGCTGCTCAGTGGTCTGTGGGGCGGGGGGAGAGGGGGGACAGGGAGGGGTGGTCCTGGGGGCTGAGACAGGGACTGCAGGGAGGAGAGGAGGCTCTCCCAGGGCGGGGCGGTGCTTTCCGCCTTTAGGTGGGTCACAAGGAGGGTGTCGGAGGGAAAGCCAGGACAGGCCCCGGGAGCTGGGAGCGCAGGGTCCTGCCTCTGCGGCCAGGAGCCGCTCGCTCAGGGCTGGGAGCAGGAGGTGCTGTGGCTGCTGAGGGTCCTCGGTCCCTTCCTGCCGGGCTCCCCTTAGGCCCAGGGTGTGGCGCTGAGTAGGGCACGGGAGACGGTGGGTCTGGGCAGGGAAATGACCGGCACCCTCTGAAAGCTCAGGCCACGACAGACTTCGACAGAAAGGGGTTTTTGGGGGTGCAGCCTCTGGTCACCTACACGGAGGATGCACCTCAGGCACATGCCTGCCGGGAAGCAGCGTGGGGGTCTGACAGGCCGCATCCCCACGGCCTGGGCCAAGGGCAATGAGCCCGGGCCCTGCCAGCACATCACCGCGGCTGAGTGAGGGGGACCCAGCCTCGGGCTCAGAGCCGCCCCGTGTGCCCCCCTCCACGCCCCTCCCCCCCCCCCCCCGGAGTCCTACCTGGGATGGTCACGTGCCAGACCAGCACGGGGTGGAGGAAGCAGGCCACGGACAGCAGCAGGTAGGCCAGGAACTTCTGGAAGCAGCCCAGCCAGCATGCCTTCTCCCTCGCTCTGGCGGCCAGGGACCCGGGCGGACACCTGGGAGGAGGGAGTCCGGGTGAGCAGGGAGCAGGCAGCAGCTCACAGGCTGTGGGCACGCTCTCTGCAGGCACCCGGGTGGGAGTCCTCCCTTAGGGGTCTTGCTGTGCTCCTTGCCCCCAGAGGCCCTGAAAGGCAGGAGAAGGGAGCAGGTGCCTCAGGGGGCACTGGGGCCCACAGCAGGGCGGAGCAGGCGTGCAGTGTGAGACGTGGGCGGGCGGTTGTGCGGTTCACGCCTTGCACAAGGGGCCTGGCTGCGTAGGGTCTCGCCTGGGTGTGCGATGACAGGGCTCAGAGGGGCTTACGCAGAGCCCACACCCGCCTGACTCCGTCAGGGCTGCTGCCCCAGGTTCAAAGGGAGAAAGCCTTGTCCTTAGGCCCAGTTCCTTCCCCTCTAGAGCAGGGATCTGCAGGTCTCATCCTGCCAGGCGGGCTCGGAGCAGCAGCGGGCCTGAAGGATGGTGCGTTGGCCCAGACACAGCCTCTTCCACACCCACTGCCACAGCTCTTTGGTTCCCCCTGGTGGTCATTCTTTGTGCCCAGGTCCTAGCTGGGGTGGAGCCGTCCAGAACTGGTAAAATGGGCCTTCAAGCCTAGGGCTCCTCTCACCGGCTCCCTCCCCTCCCCCCTCAGAAGTTGCAAGGATCCCTGGGCAGCGGGAGCTACTCACTGGAAGCAGAGGGCCAGCAGCTGAGCCACGAAGTAGGCCCCTTCGCACACGGCGACGGCGGCTCCCGTGAACCTGCGTGGAGACAGGTGAGTGAGGCGGGGCCTCCTCCGGCGCTCCCTTCCCCTTCCTGCCGGTGGTCTGCTCCCTGCACCCTGGCCTCCCGGCCAGAGCTTCTCAACCTGATCTGTCACCCAGCCAGCGTCCCCCGCGGGTCTTGATGCCAGGGCCTGCAGGAGGTTGGGCTGTGGTGGTGGAGGCGGTGCCGCCTGGACAGACAGGTGAGGAGGGGGCTGCAGGCCCGCAGGAGGGGCCACCTTGACCACAGCATTCCTGTGCGGACACTGGCAGATATCCTTCCTGCTGTCACTGGGACGGATACCCACTGCCCCACTGAGCGGCTTAAAGCTGGACCCCTTCCCAAGCCCCTTCCTTCTCCCGCTTTTCTCATCACGCAAAGGTCACGGGTATGGGCTGACTGTGTCCTGAAATCAGCTCAGAGTCCGTCCCGTTCTCTCTGGCCTCACCCGAGAGCCTGAGTGTGGGCCTGGCTCCCAGACACCGCACCACTCCCCCCTCTTGGTCTCCCTGACTGCCTGGCCCCACCGCCTGTCCCTGCTCCTCTCTCCAGGCGGTCCTTCTGACTCCTGAGACTGACCACACTCTTCCCAGGCTAGGATTCTTTTTTTCTTTCTTTCTTTTATTAAATATATTTTTATTGATATTTTACAGAGAGGAAGAGAGTTAGAAACATGGATGAGAAACATCGATAAACTGCCTCTTGCACACCCCCCTACTGGGGATATGCCCGCAACCAAGGTACATGTCCTTGACTGGAATCGACCCTGGGACCTTTCAGTCCGCAGGCTGATGCTCTATCCACTGAGCCAAACGGTTTCGGCCCAGTCTAGAATTCTTTAAATCCTCCTCCTGCTCCAGGGGTGGTCCGGAGACCCCCCGTCATAATTTCCTGGGAATGTGTAAAATCATCGTCCCTGGGCCCAGCATCACGGTCTTTGGGAATGGGACTCACATTTCCTATTGGAGAGTCTCCTGGCCAATAGGACCGAACTTCCTTAGCACAGCTCAGGTGCCACGGGGCCTCTGCACAGGCCAGCGCCTCTTGCCAGGACCCCTCCTTGGCCCGGCTTGTCTGAGGATACGGAGATGGCAGTGATGCACGGGCAAGTGTGCCCTGCACTCGATGAATGCGCTGAGTGTGAGGGACCACAGCAGCTTGAGCTCAAGATCTGTGTGGGGGAGATTGTGTGTGTGTGTGTGTGTGTGTGTGTGTGTGTATGAGGGGGGGGAGGAAGGAAGGGTGCAAAGAGGGAGGCGGGACATTTGGGTGGCCCCTGAAGAACCAGTGGGCACAGTGCAGGAAGGATGCGCAGGGTGGGCTGGGTGCTAATCCCTTGGGGAGGAGAGCAGGGCATGGGTGGGGAACATCAATTGGTTCGCGATGAGGGGCGGGGGACCAGAGACTCAAAAGAACTCCTTCTAGGACTGGGCCACAGGGGGACCAGGTGAGCACTGCATCCCCTTAAGACAGGCAGAGAGCCAGGAAGAGGCAGGGCTGGGCAGCCACAGGCAGTGTGAACTGGCCACGGACGGGACTGTCAGAGGGTAGTGACCCCCAGTTCCTCCCCAAAGTCATGTCTGTGGATGAACTAGGCGGCTACAGAGAGGAGGAAGCCAGGCTGCTCTGGATTCCAGGGAGACTGTGCAGGGTGGCTGGGACACTCAGTAAGACCTGGGGGACCTTCGGAGCAGGAGGCCACTCCCAGCCGGTGGGGTCTGGCATGGGCAGGGGTCCCAGGGCCCGATGGCAGGGAGGGGCCTGGGAGTCAGGTGAAGTGGGTGGAAAGGCACCCTGGGTACCTGCTTGGACGAGCCAAGGCCCAGAGGGAAGGTGGGCGAGTGTGGGAAGAGCCGCTTGAGGGGGGAGGGGGCGGACGGAGTGACTAGAAATAAGGTGGAGGTCAGGGATGGCAAGGGCATGGCCTGGAGGCTGTGGCGGCCGTGAAAGTCGCCAGAGGGAACCGCGTATCCAGGCGGCTGGCTGTGGCAGTGTGGACGCGCCTGTGGGGTAAGGGTCTGGCTGGGAGATGATGGACGGACCCACCTCTCACACCGGAGAGCTTGTCTGAGGCGGGGAGGCCAGGTGCTGTGTGTGGACGTGGAGGGGAGAGGGGACAGAGGAGGCATCCTGCGGGGCTCCCTCTGGAGGTGGTCAGAGCTGCACAGTGCTCTCCCCTGCCAGGGGCACTTGCAGAGACAGCGGGCAGAGAAGAAAGGACAGGGCTGCTCAGTGGCTTGGTGATGTGGCTGAGCTGCTCACTCCCACTGAATTTCTCCTCTGCAAAACCAGGACACTGGCTACTTCGCCAGGGCTGTCTGAGCTAGAGGACACCGGATAAGGGAAACCTGTAACCCTTGGCAGGAGGATGGCACAAAGTTATGGTCCTCTGAGGTCCCTCTCTAACACAGGAGCTTGGTGAATGTGTGCTCCCTAAGGAGCTCTGGGAGAGGTGGGTGGGCGGATAGGCAGCCATGTTAATAGATGAATGGATGGATGTGGATGGTGGGTGGGTGGGTGGGTGGATGGATGGGTGGGTGGGAAGGTGGATGAATGGCTGGGGGGGGTGGATGGCTGGGTGGGTGGGTGGATAGATGGATGGATGACTGGATGGATGGGTAGGTGGATGAATGGCTGGGGGGTGGGTGGATGGGTGGGTGGATGAATGGCAGGGGGTGGATGGGTGGGTGGATGAATGGCTGGGGGTGGGTGGATGGGTGGGTGGGTGGGTGGATGGATGGATGACTGGATGGATGAATGGCTGGGGGGTGGGAGGGTGGGTGGATGGGTGGGTGGATGAATGGGTGGGTGGGTAGGTGGATGAATGGCTGGGGGGTGGGTGGATGGGTGGGTGGGTGGATGAATGGCAGGGGGGTTGATGGGTGGGTGGATGAATGGGTGGTGGGTGGGGGAGTGGATAGGAGGATGATTGGTTGGGTTATGGGATGGTTTGATTACAGCCCTTTCCAAAGCAGAGGATGCTCTAAGTCGCCCGCTAGCCCTTCCTCCTCTGGGACAGGACGGCGTAGCAGGGGAGGTCTGGCTGCTCCGTGTTAATGGAGGAGAAAGCAGAACACGCCCGGGAGAGCAGTGCGTACTCACAGCAGGTAGAACGCCAGGCTCCTGAAGTGCCCCTGGAGGAAGGTCTCGGTGCCCACGCCGATCAGCACTGGGAGGGAGAGGAGGGGACAGTGGCCCAGAGGCTCCCGCCACCGCCCTGCCCTGAGCGGGCGCCGTGGCCGGGAGCCAGCCTGTCCCGGGGCGGAGAGCCGGGAGGCTCTTCCCAGGCGGCTCAGAGCGGGCGGCTGGGAGGACGGAGAGAGCAGGAGCCTCCTGACTGTCTCGGAAACCAGGGTGGCTCCAGGCAGAGCCCCAGGTGTGCTCAGTGCCGTCTCCCTGAGCACAGACTCCCCCCCACCCCCCTCGAGTGCCCCAGGAACGCCCACACAGGACCCTCCGAGGGTGGCACTGCCTGCTCTGGCACCCATGGCCCGTTTCCCTCGCTGGTTTGGCAGCGGCCTCACACCACGGCTCTGGCCCCAGGGCCCATTAGGCCCTGATAGATGCTGCTCAGCCCGCCGTCCTCTCGCCCTTTCTTGGCAGTTGGGACTCGAACACGTGACCTCCCTTTCCCAGGGTGCCCTCTGCCTTGGAGCCACCTTTGCAGACCTGCTGGCTCACCGCTGTCTCCTCCCGGGCTCCCTGCTCTAACAGCTTCACTGCCCAGCGGCGCCCTGACCCGTCCACTCGCGGATGGAGCCGGGTCACAGGCGGTGCGATGTCCCAGGCCTGCAGGGCCGCGGTGGCCCCGGCCGGACCTCTTTCTGGGCCTAATCGATCATACTCCTCGCTCCTGCATGTCTTTCTGGGCCCAGGTGACATGCCCCGCCGGTGTTTCCACTGTGGTGCTTGCCACCTCGTCCTCCGCCCTCTTCTGAAACTCAGAGACTTGGGCTGTCAACATGGGCTGTAGGACTCACGTCTGCTGCGCACGCGGCTGCTTCTCTGGGCCTGAGGCCGCCCCTCGTCCCTCGTCCCGGGCGGGCAAAGAGATGCTTGTAGGCTCCCGCCCCTGGGGGGTCCCAGCCCTTTGTCTGGGCAGAAGGGCTGCCTCCCGAAATGTAAAATGCGGTGTGGAGCCCCTCGCTTAGGCTGCCAGCACCTCCACCCTCACTTCTGGGGAAGGAGGGAGTGCTGCAGGGAGACAGGAGGGGGTGCCTTGGCCTAGGAAGGGAGGGGGGTACCCAGCCACCCAGGTTGTCTCGCAGATGGAGCCCCGTGCTCAGAGCGGCAGGGCCAGCGTCTCTGCCTCCGCAGAATCAGTCCCGGTGAGGAGCTGGGGATGAGTGTCAGCACCACCTGCAGAGCACTCACTGGCTTACACACGATGGTCACACATGTCCCGACTCCTCCTAGCATCCCTGTGACGCGGTGAGCTCTGCACACCCCGTTTTGCAGGGAGGAAAACGAGGCTGGTGATGTGCTCACAGGACACATGTGCCAGAACGTGAAGGAGCAATCGTGAGGTTTCTGGCTGCAGGTGGTGAGCAGTTTCCTGGTTTCCACTGCCTACTAGTGTACGTGGAGTGTGTGTGTATGTGCACATGTGTGTGTGAGGTATGCAGATGTGTTGGCATGTGTGTTGTGTGTGGTATGTATCATTTATTTAATTTTCACTGTGTATCTTGCCTTGTTCTCAGCACTTAGCATTTATTAACTTATTTAATGATCACAACGTTCCATGTGAAAGTAGCATTCCAACCTCATTTTCCAAGAGAGGAAACTGAGGTACAGGGAGTGAAGGCAGCACAAATAAACCAACTGGCCACGGCTGCCTAGGTTTGATCCTGCATTTCAGCCTCACACTTGCTAGTTGATAGCTGAGTCACTCATCTCTCTAGCCTCAGTTTCCTCATGGTTCCTCTGGAACATATTGATTATGAGGATTTAGTAGGCTAATTGATCCCAAGCACATCACAGTTGCTGAATGAAACAGCTTGTTATTTTATGGTGTGGTTTCATTCTGATCAGTCTTTGTCGATTTCCATGCGCTTGTGGCAAATGGCCAGCAGATGGCAGGAGAGGGCCTTGGGAACAGCTCCGTTCCCTCCCTTGCACCATTAGGCCCGAGGAGAGCTATTTTAATACTTATTGACCGAAACAAAGGGTCAGTGGTCAAAGGGGCGTTGGAGAAGTACCAGAGGCAGAATGGGGTTTGCAATCTAAAAATCAAAGTGGCAACAGAAATAAGCAATTTGGCTTACACTCTCAGTTCTAGATGATGTGACCTTGGTGAAGTGGGTACCTGAGGCCTGGGTGGAGTGGGTACAGGAGGCCTGGGTGGAGTGGGCACAGGAGGCCTGGGTGGAGTGGGTACACGAGGCCTGGGTGAGTGGGTACACGAGGCCTGGGTGGAGTGGGCACAGGAGGCCTGGGTGGAGTGGGTACATGAGGCCTGGGTGAGTGGGTACATGAGGCCTGGGTGGAGTGGGTACAGGAGGCCTGGGTGGAGTGGGTACATGAGGCCTAGGTGGAGTGGGTACACGAGGCCTGGGTGGAGTGGGTACACGAGGCCTGGGTGGAATGGGCACAGAAGGCCTGGGTGGAGTGGGTACACGAGGCCTGGGTGGAATGGGCACATATGACCTGGGTGGAGTGGGTGTGTACTAACTGTGTGCGCTGAGTTCCCTCTGAAAGGGGAGAATGAGTTACACCTCAGAGTTGTTGCTGGGCATGGGGAGACTGACAAAGCTGAGAGGCAGGCTCTGTGTGTGGTGTGGTCAGGGGACCGTGAACACGAGCTCCTTCCTCCCCTATTTGACCTGGGCAGCTTTCCCAGCTCCATCTAGCCATGCAAGGCCGAGACAACATAGCGTCCTTCCTGTGTCCCCTGCATCTGCCTCTGCCTGTGGCCCTCACCCGGGATCCTGTTTCTGCCCTGGAGCTACTTGGCTGCCTCCCTGGGCTCCTGGCAGCTCCTCCCAGACTGCGCTTCACCTGCTCTTCTGGGTGTTCCTGCTGGGTGAGTTGGGGTGAAGCAGTGGGCTGGAGTCAGGCATGTGCTCCTCTCCAGGGCATGCTTGGTCCAGGGGAGACACGTGGTTTGTACGGACTGACAAGGTACTGTGACGCAGCCTGTGAGAGAGGCTCACCTAAGTGCTCAGAGGGCCAGGGAGAGAAGGGCCGTTCCTGAGGGTGTTGAACCAAGAAGGCCTGGCAGGCGGGCAGGAGTCAGAACTGAGAAAGTGGAGGGGCAGGCCCTGCAGTGTAACAGCAAGTCGTTTCCTCTGGGGCCGGGGCACGGGAGGGGCCTGGGCAGTGCCTATGGGCTGGGGCCGGACTGTGGCTCTTTAAATAGTAGGCTCCATGGGCTGGGCAGAGGCTGGGGGCACTCAGGTGCAGGGAGCAGCTGAGTGATGCGTTCAGACTGGCATCTCAGAGAGCTCCCTGCCCTCAGGCAGAGGGTAGAGGCTCTGGTGATACTGGCTAAGACTGCCTGGCGGAGAGAGGTGGTGACGGAGATCCAGGACCTGCTCCGGGTGCTCCTGGCCTCCCCTCCCCAGCACCCCGCCAGCCTCCAGCTCCTCTGTGGGTCTGGCTTGGAGCAAGTTCTGGGCATGGCTCCTGACGGTGTGCTTGGGTGACTCCGTTCACCTGTCTGCAGGCAGGGCACCTGGGCGAGGCGGGCAGGGGAGAAGGGCACGCCCTGCTATGGCATGATGGCCTTTTGCTGGGTGGAGGTGGTCACAGGTGACCACAGACATTGGGGTTGGAGCTCTCTGGGCGCGCCAGCCCAGCTGCCCCACAGGGAAGTCCTGCCACGTGCTGTACACTGAAGCAGTCCCTGCACACATTCTGCTACTGTGCACACCATCCCTCAAAGTGGGATTGCCAGCCCCACGTTATTATGAAAAATCCCAACCAGCGCCTGGGGGTGAACACCTTGGCCCAGCACGCCGGCCAAAATGGGCAGAGGGCGCCAGGATCAGACCGCCTCGCAGGGCTCTGAGGTCGCTGCTGGCAGAGGTCGGGGAAGGGGAGCATGGTTCTTGGGGCCCTTCACAAGCATGGGGGTGTCAAGTGAATGAGACCTTGTCCCCATGGGCAGTGGGCCATTGCATCGCCCCGCCCAGCTGAGCATACGTTTTGCCATGTCGTCATCATAAAGAGGCGGGAACCTGCCCCTGCACTGCCTCCGCGACCAGCTGGTGCCCAAGCTGTGGGTCAGGGTGGCGATCACCCCTCACCCCTCACCCCTCACCCCTCACCCCTCACCCCGGGATGGTTGCAAAGGGCCCACAGCCTGGGCAGAGCTCTCTGCTGAATGTCACAAGCAGTCCCAGCCTGAACCTCACCATGAGGCTGCTGTCCCGGCCACCAAGGGTTGCCCTGGTTGATCAAGGCCCAGGGTCCCCGGGGCGAGTCCACACCCTGCTCACAGCACATCCTCTGAGCCAGGTCTGGGTAAAGTACAAGGTACACAGCAAATGTGTGCCCCAGCCTGGGCAGACAGTCCCAGCCCCAGGAAACGGGAATGCCGAAGGTGGGGACAAGCAACAGCACGAGGAGCAGGAAGAAGGCAGAGGAGACAGGAAGTCCCTGCGGAGGGGACAGGCCAGGTGAGGCCAGGCGGACAGAGCAGTGCGAGTTCAGGGCTTGGCTTTGTGACGCCAAGGCTCTGTGCACAGGCCAGGGGCGGGGCCTGGTCTCTGGGTGCCTCTCTGTGCAGCTCCCAGGGCTGAGCATGTTCACAGGGTTGCCCTGGAGCAGACAGTGTGCTTCCTGGGCCCACACCCTCACCCTTTTCACCTCGTCCTGCCCCTAGGAAGCCATGCTGGCTGAGAAAGCTAAGCCCGTGGTCAGGGAAAACCCTGCCATGGGCGTCTGGGTGCAGCCAAGGGCCCTGGGACCACTGCTTCTGCGAGGACTTACTCTCTTCCCTAACGCCGTCTTCTGGAGGTCTCCCAGGCCTCTCGGGGCTGGGCCAGGTACCCTCTCTCAGGTCAGCGAGCCAGGCAAGATCTCCTGGGAGGACACCCCTGCTGGCCCGGCAGGAACGCATCCAGAGAGCTGGGGAGATTATTGCTGGGTCTGTGACAGACAGTTGCCCCCCACAAACTTAGTCTGTTCCGAGAGGAGAATCCCTGACTGTAACCATGTAAGATGGGG